AAAACGGAAGCAAGGCATGCAAAGGGACGACGGCGTCCCGGGGGCCGTAGGGGAAAATTTGGAAAATGGCCGTCGAGTCCAATTCCCAGGTAATTGCCTCCGGCTGCCCGATATAAACTATGACGGCTCGCGTGCTCCTAATAGGTAGGAAAGTTTCCACGCACGAAAAGCGGAGATCGAAGGTGCACGCAGGCAGGTAGACACGCACGCACGTACGCGGAGTACCTCTACGGCGGCAAATCAGATTTTGCGTAAATTACCTCGGCGGTTGCACCGACGTTACGTGAATCGCCTGAGAATATGGGAACGTGCGAGTACGAGAAGAGTTCACGATGCTGAACCCGTCAATGGGCCACGCGCTGCTTTGCTTTTAACCTTCGGCCGGGAAACGATGCCGGGAGAAAAAATCGTGTTAATTTAAGAAAGCACCAGCAGCCGCAGTAAATGGTTTCTCGATACAGCACGTGACCCCGCAGTGGCAACAAATGATTTGTTACTTTTAATTCGCTGCTCTAAGCGGCACTTGTGATGAAGACGTGACTAACTCAAGCCAAACAGAGACGAGGACAAATGTCACAAATGTCACTTATATCTCGGGCGATATGTATGTTTGCTAGAATGACGAGAGATGATTCGCAACTGTTCGATCTGACCAAACAGCAAACGTGCTTTTGTTCTGATAACCCAGAGACTTTTCTCGGTGGAGAATCGGAAGAATCCACGCGTGACTTTTATTTAATTCAATTTAATCGTGTTTTTATATAAATATGCGACGTTGCTGCCGTCTAGTCGCTTAATCTCGCCGCTTCCAATCAGAGAACGAGGCTTCGAATATTGTTCCACGGTTTTAATAACGTTGTATGAGCGATATGGGATGCATAGCGTACGGTAAGTCGCGGTTATTAATTCCTCGGCGCGAAATTACGACGTGCGGGACTCTCGCGCTGAGAAAAAAATACAAACTCGTCCCACAACCGCGCAAGTATTCAAACGTCAGCGCCGCGACCAGTTTTCTCTCTTTCGTCGTGCCTGCTCTCCCGAGACAGAATCAGTTGTCACATTATTTCCTCCTCGCTTATTAGCGTTTTAATTGCCCACCGGCTGCGTTATACGCGACCTAACGCGCCGCGAAGCGGCGTTTTTACCGGCGGACAATTTACGATCTCGTAAAGCAGTCCACGGAAACATCAGCGACTCTTGCAAATAAAACAAGCGACATGGACTCGGCACTTTTTCAGGTGTCTAACGAGGTCCTGCCGTTTCTTCTTTTTTCATTTCAATGCACTTAATGCTTATTAATGCTCTTTTAATGCTCAAGTCAACAGCTATCTATAAGTTAGAATAGAAAGATTTTTAACATAGATCTACTCTCTAAAGTACAATCAATGTGTTTTTCTTCTGTCGTTTGCCCATTTAATATTTTAATACCCTTAATGCTTATGATCTTTTAACGCTCAAGCCAGCAATTATCTGTAAATCAGCATAGAAAGATCTTTCGCATCGATCTGCTTTCTAAAGCACAATCAATGTATTTTTCACTGAAATGCTACAATTGATGGTCCAGTTGTAAGTATAACACTGCAATCAACAGAATCTCGCTGAAGGGATCATTTGATAGTAATTTAGATAAAATTGTGGAGTTGCAAAAATTGTAAATTAATAGAAGTATGAATTTTGTGTTGTGTACTTTAACAATATCGGTTCACGGAGACTTTTGCAAATTTCAAAACTATCCTTTATTTATTTATTTATTTATTTCACAAGCTGAAATTTTTCAGTAAAACGAGAAAAGAGAGATAACGCTCACGGTAGAGAGCTCAACGATGTAACGTCGCATTCCACTTTCTTTTCTTTTCTTTTGTGGCGAGGCATCCCCCGCGTCTCCCGACGATACCTCTTCCGCGACGACGAGTGGTCGCGCGCTTTTCCACGGCCTTCGTTCGTCGCAGGGAAAAGCGGCAGACGCAGCCCTGCCAAGATCCCCGACGGTACAACCGCTTCGCGAGTATTATCAAAGTTCTTCCCCATAGACACCGTAAATCTCGCGACGGGGTGGAGGGTGGTGGAGTTGCTCCGTGGTAGAAGCCGTCGCGGCGAAACAAAGGAAGCGTTGCGCGGGCGCGCACGCTAAGCCACTTTATCCGAACTTGTCGAGTTTGCCTACGAACGGCAAACCTGCTGCCGCCCGCTCTCAGACACCGCGACGCATCGCGCGTCCGCTCGAAAATTCAATTTGCAAAACGGCATCGCGCAATTTCCCACGTAATTCACTGCCGCCAGCCAGTGTCTGGCAACACCGACCCCGACACCTCGTCTTTCGTTATCGCGCGATTGTAAGTAAGAGCGGAGCTGCGTCGCACGACAAAATCGCGATTGTCTCATTTTCGCGATTAACATCCGAGACGTAATAATTCGATCGAATTGATCGCACAACAAAATCTGCACGATACTGCGGGTTTAGTTACTGCGGTCATTGTTACTGCACGGGGAGAATTTTACGGTAAAAATTGTGGTAGAATTTTGTAACGGAGGGATATATGATCGACACAGTCTGCGGTAATCTGTTATCTTTTCATTTTATATGCGCTGTCTGTAGTTCGGGAACTGAAATGTGTGCTACAAAAGAATTTGCTACACGGTTCGATTTAATTAAACGGCTCTATTTGACAGTTCAATTTCGTTGTAACATGTGGCTACCTCAAAGTATAGCTGTCAGTACGCATGTATTCAACTGTGAAGCGGATGTAGCAGCAACAGTGGTGGCAGAAGCTTCAGTTACAGCGATAAATAAACTTTCAGCGAACCATGACTAGCTGGAGCAATGTTTCTACCGAAATTTACTGTGTTCCTTAGCAAGACCGACTTTACTGACAGCCTATTCCTGCACTACTTTTCAACAATTTCTAAATCCAACTTTTTTATGTCTGATTTACGAAAAAGAGGAAGACAAAAGACGACAATCCGACTCGACAAAGTTGTTCCAAATTCATTAAAAAATTTCATTAAGGAAAGAAAGAGAGGCGTCGAAATCAAATTTCGAAGGTATAGCCTTTTCTCAAAGATGAAATGCCATTTGATCCGACTATGCGACGTTTCGCTCATACAGGCGAGGCGATATCGACGGATTCCACGGCCCATGAAATTCCACAAACGACCACGGTGTCTCGGATCGGAACTCGCTCGGGGGAATCATCGGGTTCCGGAGCGAACGGAGATATCTCCGATCCGGGAGGAGCCGCTCCAGGTGAGGGACGGTCGGCGTCACGCGACGCTCGTTCTCAACAAGTTGGAAATCGGTACCCGACGTCGCTTACGTACTCTCGCCTCTTACCCCGCCGGTGGTGCCTTACGGGACACGAAACGGTTTCCTGACGTTACGTGCGAGAGATCCGTTGATCCCTGACACGAAAACGAACGGCTGGCCGTGAATCGAGGCGAGGCGTCGCGTCGCGTCGCGTCGCGCCGCGTCGCCGCGAATCCAAGGCGGAATTCTCGCGTGACACGTAATTAGCCTCCGAAGATCCCGCCGGAGAAAGCGGAAGCATGCCCTCCTTCGCCGATTATTTAGCCGCGCCAGACAAAAAAATCGATGCAGCCAGGAATTGTAAGGCGCGTGATAATGATAGTTATTACTTCAGAAAATTTAAACCACGTGAAACACCTGATCTGAGTTTAGAGTTAGATATAAGCTCTTTTTTTAATCGTACAATGCACACACTTTGAGGAAAATCTATTTGTAGGATATAAAGTGTATTCGCAGAAATAAACTTTATGTCCTACAAGTCAATTTTCAGGTAATTTTTTCTCAGTGTATATGCGACATTATACGGAGAAAAGATATTTGAAAATTTACTTGTATAATTAATACAGAGGTCTGAAAGCCCATTTTTCCAATCTCTTGGTACGTTATAGTTAGTCAAATCATATGTCTGTCTCGGTTTTTCTTTCAAAGTAGGTAAAGACAGACGTATGATTTAATTGTTAGATAACTTACCAAGAGGTTGGAAAAATCAATTCTATCAGATTAGTTTGCGGAGAGAATCTGACGAGGAAATCCACGGCGAGGCACGTTGCACTCCCGCGAAACTGGAAAAAGTTTGAAGAGTCATAGTAATCGGAAAAGCTGACCTCACGGTTGTCTGGTCGTCGTGGCGCTTCGCGTTTTCGTCGTCGCATGATCGACCGGAGCTGAACCGGTGTAATAAAAGTCCGTACACGGCTCGCGGTAACTCGCAATGTCACGTCCGAAGAAAATGCCGAGCCGAGTTGGATGACTCACGTCTCGCACAGGGTGTATATTTGCATAACGAAAACCGTATGGAAATGAACGGGCGACGTAGGCGCGCGTGAAATTATTATTCCTCCATCCATCAGGCGTAAATAATCGTACCAAAAAAATAAAAGGTCGCTAAAGGACGTGTCGGATGAGTCGAGACGTAAAGCTAGACATATACTGAACGAGTGTGAACAAGGAATACAAACGCTTCCGTTTTTATCATTAGAACAACGCGTATTCCTCAACAAATTCAAACGGAATGTCACACTTGGACCAATTTGCTCATGAAACGGCTCAACGAAAGTCTGGGCACAAATATATCACACGTTTGTTATTCGTTCATTCAGTAATCATCCAGCTTAATAAATTATGCTTAGAACAGATCTCTCTCTCTCCTTCTCTCTCTCTCTTTCTCCATGTAAAATTCTTTTCACGGAGATACCGTCCAAGTAATCAATACACCACTTTTCCAATATTCCTCCCTTATTTTTCCAATATACCTCAACGCTTTCCTAATTTATTCCCGATACTTTGTGCATTGAGTAAATTACCAATTTAACAAAAGCCGCGCTCCCCGAAGACTCAGCCGTCGGATATTCAGCCGATAAACTCGCGGGTGAACGATCCCAGCCATCCAACGCGTCCTTCACCGCGCGCGCAGTACAATCACGAAAAGTGAAATTGTACACAGCGCGGACGAATAGTATATAATCCCTTAAATTACCTCTCGTGTTCTGGTCGCGCTATCACACGCCCCTTCGATCGGAGGCAAAGCGGCCGCCGCGAGCTGCGGGAGGGGTTGCGGCACGACGGGTACGCGATGCGGGTGTCACGTGCAGGGTGATCGCGCGTCGACTGAGAGCTACCCTCTATCGCCGAGAGAATCCGCAAGAAACGACAACGGCGGTGGCGGCAGCGTCGCGACGCAACGCAACCCCTTAGCGGCCAGCCAACCATCCGGCCAGCCGCCGTCGGCCGCCGCCGTCGCCACCCCCGAATGCATCCCCACCGTGGGCGATTATCGAGACAGGAGGGGATGCGTGTATCGCCACGCGGCCGACAGACTGGTGGGGGTGTCTGCCGGTGGAATTACTTCGTCCGGCAAAAAACACCCTTCCACCCCTCTCTCCTCGCCAGCCGCCGCCGCCGCCGCCGTCGCCGCCATCCGCTCCCCGTCACCCTTCGCTCGGAAGGGCGGAAAACTGCGGGGGTGAGGAGCGAAAGGGGCGCCAGGGGCCGATGCACCGAGGGAGTATGAAGGTCGCGACGCGACGCGGCAGATAAATCAGAATTCGCGGCTGAACGGGTCGTTGCGGATTTTTCGGCGTGTCTGGCTGCACGGGAACACGACGTTGTTGGTTGTACGGGTTACAGCGAGCGACGCAGGGTGTGTAGGAGGAGAACGTCTGGTTCTCCGAGCGTGCGCGCACACACCACGGGATTACGTGGTTTTCGTTCGCTCGTAATTCGCGATAATCTCTGGAACGATAATTTAAGATAATCGTGCGGCAGGTTAGGAAGACTATCGATTTTTCCGTGGGTCTCTTCTCTCCCTTAACCCTTTGCCTCGAGGCAACGAGTCTCATCCGCGGGTAACTTTCTCGGACAAGAACAAAGCGCGCTTTGGACGAGAGAACGAACTCAGCGAAGCAAATGATCAATTTCCGCGATTATTTGGATAATTATTCTTTCCCATCTCTTGATATCTCTCAGATCGCTGGCCGTTCCTCTTGAAAATTAATTACAAATTAATTTATTAATTTGTAATTAATAAATTTCGTTAAAATTCACATCGAGTGGATTTTGAGAAATCTATGTCCGCACATAAGGAGAGAATATTCTTCTATTTTTTATTGTCCCATTTTCTTTGCATATATGAAATCTTTCTAATTTTACTATGTTCTAGTAGTGCAGAGGAGAACTGTCAAATAAAAGAAGACCTTCTATTTTGCTAAGGAACATAATAAATTTCGCTGGAAACATAGCAAATTTTGTATTAACATTACATTTCAATTTCTAAAATATAAAAAGCATGTGCGAAATGAAGAGGCAGTAAATTACTGCAGAATGTCGATCTATTCGTCGATTAAACATTCTACAGTAATTTTTGCTCTAAAATCTTGTATGTATACTACACGAGATACACGAAAAACAAATATTGCCTGTTGCAAACTTTTTGAATCTTAATCTTGGCGCGAGGGATTGAGAAGTCGTGACTTCGTAAAAAGTTACGGATATCGCGACATCACGCATACTACTCGGCGGTGCCTCATTCATCTCACGAGAAACTTGTAACGTTGTTATTCTCAATTTTAGCGACGCGACGCAACGCGTCACAGTTTAATACATTGTCTCTGCGAAATTACTTATTGAAACAGGACCTTCGACATAATCTCCAAGGTCGAGAGATTGCTTTAGCGAGGGCGATTGCGTTTCACGACGGCTTAGTGACGGTGGAGAGGAGCGAGACGCGGGCTGAGCGAGACACGGGGAGGGAAATGTAAATTAAAATTCACCGAGCGCTCTATGGCGCAGATACTGAAAATAACAGCAGACCCACAACCAGTTTCTGTCGGATACGAGGCTCATTGTTACCGGACAAAAAGCGACAAAAGCGAGTGTTTTATGTACGTGACGGCACTGACGTGAAACTAAACGGGATATGACGAGTGGAATAACATTTTTACATAGAAACAGATCGTCCGAATGTCGAGGTAATAAAAACGGAATCACGCGAAAATACTAGCGAAAATATTGCGGACAATATGCGGACCACCGAGACGCGGGCAGCGATACATCATATATTTCCAGACGTGTAGATATATATTTTACAAATATATTTCCCCGACGTCAGTAAAAAAAAGATGAATAGAAGCGAGGTTGTGAAGAAACAAAATTTCCTGCCTTGATTATTCATCATTTATATTCAACCATTAATCTTTATTGGATTATTTCATATTTGCATGTTCTACTTGCATTTAAGTAAACATAATTGACACGTTCTTTGTTGAAATTAAGGACGGAGGTAAGGTAGAATATTCGAATATTAAATGTAGGTAGAATATTCGATGTCGTGTCGAATATCAATTTGATTCTCTAAAGCAAATCGTTTTGAAAACAACTCAATATGAAAATAGTTCATGTGAAGTTAATGCGAAACTAAAATTTCGACTCGAGTGAAGCGACTTAATATCGCGGTGAAGCACTCGAATCAACCGACTATTGCTTAATTAAATTTTTCAATTCGGCGACGCTTCGTTACACACTCCTCTTCAGTACAGAACCACTCGGTGAAAAAGGTTCGCGGGCATAACTTTATGAAACAAAAAGTCATTCTCTCTCTTTCTCTCCGTTTGCTCTCGAGTCGTGGAAAAAAGTTCGTAACGGCACCGCGGAGACGGAAAGGCGAGCGGCGAAAGGCGAAAAACTGCAGCCAATGCGCCGCGGCGCAAAGGTTACGAGCGTGACCGCGAGGAAATTAAATGTTGGATAAGTAGCGCAGGAAAAAATGTCGCATCGGTAAGTCAAGTTAATAATGTTGCCGGGACGCGGCGATTCCGGTGAACGAAGTCGTGTGTTTGATGAGAGACTACGATAATTCGCCGATCAAACACGGATGCTCGCGTCTAATTAGAAAAACGACGACAATGTACGTGACATTATTATAAAAAAAAAAACTATTAGCGAGCTCAGATAATTAATCTCAGAACGCAAAAGATGGATAAAATTTGCCGGACCAACTTTTCAGACGTCATCGTTCGTAAAAATATGTGTTTTGTTTTTTCGTCGTAGCTTCTTTCAGTTTTATTGAATCGCAACAACATTAGTAGATTCATATTCCTCGATATTTTCTACTCCGATTAAAAAAAAATTGAATTTTAATCATTTCTGTGAAAATTATGAGCAAGTGAAAATTATGCGCTGGGTAAAATTTACCCATGGTTACGTAATTTCTTGATGTTTAGAGTTCTAGAGTGAAGTTCTCGATCAGTAACACGCGATAAAATAGTATTCCGGCAAATATTTCAATGTAAAAGTACCAATGCTAGAACATTGAATAACATTATCTAATTCTAGACATTTTTACATTGTAAGAAAAAAAACCTTCGGCATTTGTAACTATAATCACAAAGAGAAATAATTACTGTGAATTGTGGTTAGGAAAATTTTGTTATTGTTAAATTCTACTATAATGTTAGTGATAGTAATCTTATATGTATGTTACTGCTATCATTTAGATTAGAATAATAAAAAAATATAACTGAGGCCAAAAATAACTATTAAAACATTAGTTAGATCAGCCATTCTCTTCTCTCAGTATATTATTTTAGTTTCTTTTTTATATACGAATATTTAAACTTCCAATATAAAATATACGTATATTTTCAACACACATACGCGCGCGCGCGCACACACGCACGCACGCACGCACGCACACATACACACACACACATACACATATTTATCTTAAATTGAAAGTTAAAATATTCGTATTTAGGTACCAAAATAAGGATGTCCAGAGTTAAAGTACTAATGTTATTAGTGTCCATGCGCTGGTTCCTTCATCTTACATGTTTCTGTAAATAATTGACTGATACATTATCAGAACGCGGTTTCTAGATAATTTTGTTGAGAAAAACGCGATAAGAGCGTTGAATTCGTTCGAAGCGTATCGAGACGAGCAACATGACGTTGAGAAGATGTCGCTTTTGCACCGTTGAGACCTCGAGAGGGCGACGAGAAAGATAAATTAAAAGCTGTCGAGATAGGCAGTGCAGAGTAAGAAGAAGCAAAATCCGTATCGGTCGCCCCAGGCTCGACAATTTCCTCTGAGGGGCGCCCGTTTAAATGATACCGCGAACATTCTCGGACGGCCGCACGAAAACGTGGCGGAAAATGCGAGGGATTGATACGGGGATGGGGGATGCAGACCCCCAAATAAGTTTCGGAGACAAAGCCTAGATTGGAATTTATCCCGGGATTCGTATCCCCGACAATAACGCGGCGAAAGATAATCCAGAAAATGAAAGAAAAAAGAAAAATGGAAGCTATTAAAGAGATGCCATGTACTTGAAAACTTGACCGGCAAAATCAGAAAATGTATCAATGCCCGGACACATCTGACCATATCTGACATATCTGATTCTAGATATTTTTATTTTTATGACTTTTAAATACGAATATTTAAATTATTAACAGAAAATATTCTCTTCAACGCATAGATTCTGTATTAAAAGTTTATAAATATTTGTATTTGAGAAGAATGCTAAACTTTATCGACAAAATATGGATTTTTTTCTGCAAAGTTTACGTCATATACTAGTTGCACAGAATTATAAGCGCTTTTACACCATGAAGGTACGTGCAAAAATGAATTGGAACATTGTTTAGTACTTGACGGAAACGATAAACAACTTCAAAATCGACTTCTGTCAGTTGACGTAGATATTTACTTGATTGAACAAAATTTTTGAAGTTTGTCATCCACTTTACAGTATCCTCTTAAATATTAAAATAATGAGAACGTTCAGTATTAAGTACGTATCCGGGAATTTGTACTTTTACTTTTACTGATTCTTTTTACAAAATTTGCGCCATATTGCTTACATAGAATTACAAACGCTTTTACACAATGAAAGTACGCGCAAAAATTGGAGCATTGCTCAATATGTGAAAAAAAAATGATGGAAAATTTCAAAATTGACATCTCAAACTATTGCAATTAGCGTAAATATTTGTCTGATAGAAAAATTCTGCGACTTGTACATTCCAAACGTGTGTTCCTAAATCGAAATTTTAATCCTACTTTTTCGACTTCAGTATTCCATTTAACACTTACTTTAATATTCTGAAGCCTATATTAACTCCTTTTAATTCTATTTAACCTACTAACTTCGCCGAGAAGTTCTCTGTAGAACATACAAGTAGCGTTTGTGCGTTCTCTGCTACTTAGAGACTCTAAGTGAGACTTCAGTTCCCGTGTGTATTAAACACACACTGATCCTTTAGAATATACAGATGTTAAAAGTTCAGAAAGAAGGGCTAAAATTTTAACTTGAAAATTTACACTCTGCTCAGAATTTTAAGAAACATTGCTGTATCTTTACCATCAAATTTAGAAGCTTAGAAATATACGAAAATTTTGCAAAAAGATTTCTACAGATATGTGGTTATATTTTCAGTTAAATATAGTAAAACAGAGCAGCACATATTTGTCCAAGATGTCTAAATATACAAGCAACACGAAAAGGGTATGATCGTGCTGGGCGTTTGTCTGACATGACATTTTGACGATCACCTATACGTTATCGACATTTTGGGTTCGTCATCCATTTTGGCATCCTCCCGACTCTCAACCGAGATAAAATATTCGACGACAAGGCAGCGTAACAAGGAATACTTAATATTAAAATATCCGACATTGCGCAAGATTCAATTTATAATTTTCACTCGTTACAAGATCGCGGAACGAGGCGACGCGATGCGAGTAAAATGAATCACGATGAAAGGACGCGAGAGACAGACTCGTCGGAGGGAGGAAAGTCCTGCATTATTGATTCGCGCAAAGCGAACGCGTTCGCGGACTACAATCTCGCCGAAGACACCGCGCTGGGCATCTTCGCATGTCTTTTCCCACGGGACGACTTCTCGCGAAATAAAAGATAAGGGATGTTTCGAAAAATGTCGATTGGCCGACGCAGAGATGCGCTGTGAGCGCGAAAATGACCGAAGCTTTCAGCTTATCGCTTTTATCGGTCGCGCGAGAGAGAGAGAGAGAGAGAGAGAGAGAGAGAGAGAGAGAGAAAGAGAGAGAGAGGAGAATGAGCGCAAGGATGACGGAGAGAGAAGATACCAGAATAAAGTTCCGAGGAGCGACGGCAGTCGGTCGGACCAGCTTTGCTCCGTGAATCAAGCACGAAAAACCGGTTCTCGACGAGCGACGGTGGATCCTACGGTGCAACGACGAAGAAGCCAGCCGAGGGCAAGTCCCAACACGGATGGATCGACAAGCGGACGATCGATCGTGTCAGGAAGGTACAGCAAGCCCGACGACGAATCTGTCCCTCTTGCCGCGCCGCCTAATTTCGTGTAATTTCGCACCCGCGTGCAAACATCGGCTGGAAGCGCGCGTGATTCTCGATGTCGGATTTGTACTCGCGCCCGAATCCGTGGAGAAATTCGGAACGACGAGCGCGATTCGCGAAGCGCCGATTCGACCGATCGCAAATCAGCATGACAAATTTCCGAAACTTGGCAAATTTTTCCGCCTTAGTTTCGGGACGTTAAATCTCTCGTCCTGCCGGTGTCCTTCGTACGCGAGACGACCTCGCCAGTTAAAAACTGCTCGCCTTCGCGGTGGATGATTTTTTAGGTTTTATATGTACTATGAGAGCGCGTTCGGGGACGAAGTTTCCGCGAGTAGTTATTCGCGAGTTATGCGGGAACTTCGGCCGGAAGACCAACGAGGCGCTACTGCGGAATTACGAGGACGGTATCGTCGTTGGATGGAAGTTTTAGGCGCCAAGTCTCCCCGGTGAGCACCGCAACGCTAATAACCGAAAGCCCGAAATATGATAATCCGCCTTTGTCGGACGAATGTGATTCGCGAACGAATGTAATTGAGTTTGCGACGAGTGAAATGCATCAAGTTGGAATTACATTCACAATTCATGGAACGTCATTTGACCGTCTCTTTTCCAATTTGTGGCGAAACTACCGTCACAAGTGCGTGTAATTCCAATATGTAACTTATCGAATTGCAACGTGCATAACATCCATTTTCCTTCACTGTAAATTTCTTTTCACATGGCACACTATATATAAAAAGCAATGCTGTAAAAGAACCAAAATTTGCCCGTAAAGAAGATGTATGAAATCGGACTATTTTTATATTTTTGAGCCTGCTGAACTCGAATATGAAGCTTAAAATAATACAGAACCTGAGAAACTTTGTGAAAATTCAGTTTTGTTTTACAAAAAGACCTCCTTTTTCAGCAAATATTTTTTAATGAACAATCGACAATTGTGAATAAAAGAAATATTTTTAAATGATTGTATTGATTTTTTTTTTATTAATATTTTGTGAGTTTAACAGATAGTTTTTGATCGTTTGATATATTCTCGCAGTTTTTTGCTGTCACATACATTCAAAAATTCAAAAGTTACATTTTTGCAATGAAAAAGTGATTTATGTTACATCACGAGTAACAATATGAATATAACATTAGCTAGCCGCTAGCTCCGCACATGAATGCTGCTCTCGAGATTGTATGTTATCTCCTCTATGATTCACAGAGCTAAGAGAATAGGTTAGATAATCACAAATTATTTAAAAATTAAAATTAAAAAATATCAATAAAAATTCTATAAAAAGAATTGTTTTGTTCACAATTGTCAATTATTATTTAAAAACTATTTACCGAAAAAGAGGATTTTCTGTAGAAAAACTCCTGTGCATAGAAACGTACATATACGTAGTGTAAATACACAGTGTTATTCTACTGCTAAGAAAAGCGATTATCCAGTTTACTTTTCCTTTTGAGTGATGGTTACCTTCAATAAAGAATATTTCCTCGACAATAGTTACAAAATATACTCATTACAAATTTAAGGAAAGCTGTTTATAAATATATATATATGTATACATATCACATGTACTCAAAAGAAGAATTTATTCTCTCTGCAAGAATATCGTATCTCTTTGTATCAAAGAGCAAAAGTTAGCTCTCTCGACTCTGTGTAAGCAAATCGAATTTTTCTCTTTAATTAAATATTCTCGATTGAATATGTTAAACGAATATCGGGATTTAGAATGTGTTTAGAATAAATTCTATGTTCATAATAACTTATGGCAGATTTGCGAATACATAAACTTATAAAACATTTGAAACAAGTAACATTTACATGAATGCATTTTTCTGCGTCTACGTAAGGAGCTTTGAAACAGGTACCTTAGGTACGAGAATATCGAGGTTATAACAGCTTTTAAAAATATAAAAGTGATTAAAATACACACATATACATATTCATCATTATTAACAATGACTTGCGTTTCCACCCAGCAGCCAGTTTATCGACTCTACCCGCCCGCGTTTCAAGAGAAAAAATCCTCGCCACGTTCGCCGACGGTTACGTTGTGACTCGACACAATATTTGTGTGATGTA